CTGTGTGTGTGTCTTGCCGCGCTCCTACTTATCCCGGCGGTGATATGTGTATGGGCGTGCACTGGGGGTGTCTGCGGGTCGGCCACCTGCCGCCCCTCTCCGCCCTGGAGAGGGCGGCGGTGCGCTCTCATGCACCCCCAGCACTCCGTGCGTGGTTATTATAAGGGCGTGTTTGTGTGTGACTGGGCGATCTGCACTGGCTGGCCACCTGGGGATGGGCGGTATCTACGTATGGAGTCATGGTGCTTGACGCACGCACGCACGCCGCCTTCAAGCTGCTGCTGGGGTGGCGTGTGTGCGACGCTGTGTGCCTGCTTGTATGTGGCCGTCGTTCGCAGCGCATTGCATATCCTCCTGTCCGCTGCATCTGCCCTCTGCGTGCTGCGTGTTTCGTGTCCGGGTTGCATGTTAGGGTGCCTGTTTCATGTTGGACAGACCGACAGGGGACTTGGCCGTCAGGCCACCTAGGGTGCTCCCTGAAACCGCAAGATGGAAACGAAGAAGAAGAGAAGAGGGGATGGACAACACAGGGCGCTTCGCAGCCTCTTCGAACCGGATCTATGTCTGGAGAGCGAATCCAATTGACCAAAACGCAGCCACGAACGATGAAGATGCGTCATCCGCAGCAGAAGGCTGTGTTGTGGCCTTCACGCACGTCAGCAATGATGGATCTCCTGCGAAGGATCACAATGGGGAGATTCGGTGGCCAGGCCCCTTCCATGAGGGAGATGATGAGCCTACCTTGATCGCATCGGTGCAGTTGAGATGGTGGGAGTGCTTTCGGGATGGGCTGGAGGGCAGCCACCTCTGGCCAAGTGCATTCGTTCTCACCAAGTAGGTGCGACCTGATCCACAGACAGTAAGCAGCGTCCTCCGTCCAGCTGTCTTGTTTTCCCTTTGCAGATGGTTGTTAGAGTGCCCTTGTCTGACCAGAGATCGCCACATCGTCGAGCTTGGCAGTGGCTGCGGCTTCACGGGCATCGCTCTTCTGAAGACCGCCGCTGCATCCTCTTATGTGTTTACCGACTGGGAGCCATCTGTCTTGCGGCTGCTTCAATACAACACCCGCCTCAACAACCTGTCTGACCGCTGCAACGTCATCGTGCGGCGGCTCAGATGGGGTCAACGGGCCGATGTTTCCACGCCAGCTGATGATGGACATGGGAGAGGGAGCTGGCTCACTCGGTCACTTCGCTGGCTATGCAGGAGGCAGCAGCCGCCAGTCCAGTCGTTTGACCAACAAGACAGCTGCGGCGATCATCTGAGGTGTGACCTAGTGATAGGCGCTGATGTGGTGTATGGCGGCACAGACGTGGAGGGCCTCGTCAGCACAATGAGCCAGCTGCTTCAAGGCTGTCTGGAGGGAGAAGAGGAGGGAGCGACGGCTGGGCTGAAGAAGACAGTGAGGTGTGTGTTAGTGTGCCCGAGCAGCCGACAGGGGCTGGACAGGCTGGAGCATGCGCTGACCCAAGCCATGGACGGCAGGATGTCTGTGGATATCATTCGAGTACAGGTGAGAACGGCTGCACACGTTTCCTGTCCATGTACTCAATGATTGATGTCTGGATGGGTCTGTGCCCTTGATTGCAGAATGACGGCATCATCCGCTTGCCGAGCGATGAGGCCGGGAGCAGCAAAAGTGGCTCTTTGGTCAATGGAAGGGATGAGTACTGTGTCTTCGTGTGTAGTCTATGACTGACCAACACTGACCCCCCTGCATGTAAGTGACGATGAGCTGGATCAGCGAGGAAGAGCTCATTATTAGCGTCCCAGGATCAGATAGATTGAGTCGTGCAGTCATTCTGCGGCTTGCTATCCTCGCGATGAATGCGAGCGGGTGCTTCCTGTTGCGTGCCGTTCGTTTGATTGTGCTGAAAGCCATGGACTTGGCCATTCCGTGAAACTGCTCGCGAAGAATGCGAGCTTTCCGTAAAGGGGAGGAGAGGAGGAGAGAGGGGAACCACTACATGCCAGCGCCCTTCCAGAGGTCTTATGATCTGCTCCACGAGATCTTTACCCGGCCAAGCTGAGCTCTGACGTCTGGGATTCCCTGCACACGTCCAATTCTCTTCGCTGGTCAAAGATGGGCTCCACATCCATAAGCAGCGAAGCCAGACTTGTTCGGTTAGCGTCGACGCTTAGCGAACGGATTCGACAGGAACAAAGCCCACAGAAACACCCTTTCCGTCTGTGTCTGCCGTGCACTGCAGCCAGTCACTATGGTCTGTTCTCGGCAAAGACGATGACGCCAGCGAGGAGGCCGTCATTGCATTCATCTGCGAGACCATCGTTGAGGAGCTCAAGTCGAGGAGTGTCGTTCTCATTGATGATATCACAGCCCTTGTGGAGTCGCTGCTGCTGGAGGGGCTCGACGAGACCGACCGGGAGCTGAGTGAGATCTGCATCAGCCAATTGGCAAGCGACGGCGTCCTTGCAAAGCTGGGAGGCGAGAATGACGACGATGACGAGGCGGCTCAGGTCGGTGATGAGTGCCAGGCAATCATGAAGGAGGACGGGGAATGGCACGGTGCCGTGGTGGAGAGGCTCCCCGATGACAAAGCCATGGCCAGTGACAGGGACGGTGAAGCTCTCTACACTGTTCGCTTCTCCCAGTACGGCAACCTCCAGCGGACGAGGCGGTCGGACCTTCGGCTGCACCACGAGCTGGCGGATGACGGGGACACTGAGGGAGAGTGTGAGCTTTGTTTGAAGCGCCTGCCGCTGACCAAACATCACGTCATTCCCAGGAGCACACACGTGAGGAGTGCGTGGCATTGCAGTGTTATTGTGGAGCTGTCTGTCTGTCTGTCTGTCTGTCTGTCATGGTTTGTATGATTGCAGGCTCATTGGCTGAAGAAGGGCATGACGCAGCAGGAGCTCTCCCAAGGCATCATGATTTGCCGACCGTGCCATGACGTCACACACAGAATCGCAGGTACACAAGAGTGGCTGCTGAGGCCGGCCGTACACGAGAGTGCTCGTTGACATGATTGATGTGTCTGCGTGTGTGTCTGTGTGTGTCAGATCACATGACTCTTGCGACACAGTACAGGACAGTGGACCAGCTGCGTGACAACGAGGTGATGCGGAAGTGGCTGGCCTTTGCCCAGAAGGGACGCGGGGGAACCAGACAGAGAAGGGCAAGCAGACGGTAGCGTGGGTTGGTGGCTGACCTCATGTGTCTGTCACGGTCGGTCGCTTTGTGGATATATGCTGTGGACGGGGAGGGGAACTGCGACCGTATGTGTGTGTTGGTCAGCTTCTTGGTTGGTCAGGGGCCTGCCCGGCCAGGCAGATTGGATTGTGTGTGCACGTGTCGATTGACGGCTTCGGCTTGACACCGACCGACAGTGAATGAGCCGCATGCACTGTTTGTCCTACTGCAATGAAGATATTCGACGTGGGAAGATTCCGTGGTTGGTGTGCCGCCTGGCTGCCGCCACACCATCCATCCATCCATTCGTCCATTAGCTGTGACGATCTTGCGACAGAACAGCATACGACAAAGACTGAACAATCGGCTCGGTTGTCATGTTTGCGCCGCTCGTGCTGTCCATCTTTGATCCTCTGATCTCGTGGCAGTAGCGGTACCACTACTGCCAGTCAATAAGGCGCACCACACATGGAGGTGAGGAGAGTGGGAATCGCCCCACTCTGCAGGCGCTTTCCCTGTCTGTCTTGATCCCTCTTTCGTTTGTGCTGTGGTGTGTGTATACTCTATGTGGTCAGGACGGTGCTGTTCAAGGCGGCGGACAGCTCAAGAGAGCGCACAATGACCCCTCTGACGAGGAGGAGGATGAAGTTTCAGGTGAGACCAAAGGCCGCGCCCACACACTCACACATGTGTTTGCGTGTCTTGTGTGCAGGTGAGCGCCTTGACGACGGTCGCAGGCACGAGAAACACACGAGGCACAAGCACCGCGATGACAGGGACAGAGGGGATCGTAAGGACAAGAAGGCCAAGAAAAAGGTATACATACGTGACGTCACCCACCCGCAACCTCCACCGCTTCAAAACATACATATCGATAGCTCTCTCCCTCTCCCTCTCTGTCCATGGTCGATCAGGAGAGGGAGGAGTCGTATGAGGACTACCACGGTCGTCGCGACCGTGGACGTGATCGTGGCCATGAGCGCCCCGACAGCAGCCGGCGTGGTGACCGCCACTACGACGACAGACGTGGCGGGGGAGGGGGAGGCGACTGGCGCACAGACGGGCGCGATGACCGGTCGTCGTATGACGATCGCCGTGAGAGGGACAGGAGGGGCGACCGCGACAGGAGGTATCGCGACAGGGTGGGTGACCACGAGAGGGGGAGAGAGAGGGAGAGGGAGAGGGTGGCCGTCCAGTAACACCACCCATGTGGTGCTGTCAAGGACCAACACAAAGTGAGTGAGGTAGGGCAGCAGAGAGCAGCCAGGGGTCGATGGATGGATGGATGGGGGGGACCGTCATGGTCGTGCCTCTGTCTGTCTGTCTGTCTGTGTCAGGGCGAGCTGATCACGGCGGCTGACGACACGATGGCCAGGGAGCCGACCCACTATGACCACGGGCCATCCATCATCGCAACAGAAGGTAGGTACCGTACCAACCATCGCCCACACCAACCACCCACTCACCGCCCATTCTCTCGCTCTCTGCCTCTCTGCCTGTCGTCAGATTCCTACGGCCGCGACGAGGATCTGCCCGATGCGGCCCCCATGATGGGAGCAGGTAAGGAAGATGAAGAGGACGAGGCGGCCTTCCTCGAGAGGAAGAGAAGGCGACGCGAGGAGCTTGTCAAGAAATACCAGGACGCCGCTGCTAGTGCTGCTTGTGCCGCTGCTGGTGATGGTGGGAAAGGTAAGTAAATCCGCATGTAGGTCGAGAGTGCACAGATGGATGGATGGATGGATGGCTTGGATGTCATTCATGTGTGTGTCGGTCACCGGTTTGTGTGCAGGCGAGGCCGAGGGAGGCGATGTTGGTGTTGGCGGGGTCGCTAAGCGTGCGGCTGAGGTACATCTAGCTACCACCGTTGATGCGGTCTCACAACACAGTCATGGCCACAAGGTTGGCCTGTCTGGTGGTGGTGATCGTATCCATCCCACCAGGACAGGACAAGGCCAAGGACCACTTGTGCGCATGGAACAAGAGCCAGAGAAGGACGCCACCAAGGGAGAGGGAGAGGAGGGCCACACATCGACCCTCGAACCTGGGTAAGCAAGCCACACAGCACAGCCACACACACACAGAAGAACACCATACATACATTTGGCTGGGACAATGTTTGTGTCAGAGAGGTGTTGGCGGGCACCGAGTTCGATCACATGTTTGAGAACCCCCCCACGCCCTCATCCCCACCGGAAAGTGTTGTGGACGAGCCCAAGGACATCACAGCTGACCCAGACAGGCCCGACAAGGACGATGGCGCCTCCGCTGCTGCTACTACTGCTGTATCATCATCCTACCTTCCCAAAGAGGTAGCTCACAGTGGATGGATGGATGGATGGATGGATGGGGCCCACAGAGAGTGTATCCATTCGTGTGTGACTCTGTGCGCGCGTGTGTGGCTGTGTGTGTGTGTGTGTGTGTTCAGTTGGAGGCGTTGAAGCAGAAGCTGCAGGCCGAGAAGATGCGTCTGCGCAACTTCATCATCAAACAGAAAGAAGCATACGAAACCAAACGCGACGAGGTACCACACCACACCCGCCACACCGCCCACATCCACACCCACACCATCTCTCTCTCTCTGCATCCTTCCATTCACAGGAGGAAAGCAACGACCCTCATGCAGAGAGGGCTGGCCAGCCACAGCCACCTCTAGATGAGTCTGATGAGGAGATAGAGGTTGACGAGGACGAGGAGGACATGTTCAGTGCCAACGTGGCCAAGAAGCGTGTCAAGAAGGTCAAGAAGCGGGCCGTCCAGGTGCCGCTGGACCTCAACCCCAACCTCGCTGACAACTGGGACGACCAAGACGGATACTACCTGGTGTGTACGACGAATGTTGTCTGTCGCAGGCAGAGAGAGGCACCTGCGGGGGG